GCTACAGCAAATTTATGGACTTCAATAAAACCTGCTGTTTTAATCTATTTTCAGAAGAAAGCCACAATATTATACATATATGCGTATATACACATATATAAATCATAACTATTATGTAGAAACAGTATATAGCAGGATTCTAGATTGAAGATATTCAAGACTCCTGAAAAGTGCGATAACCAAGTCAAAACATCAAATCTGAATTACTTTGAATAGTTTTTCTTGGAGAAATTTCAAAAGCTATAGATGGCTATAAAAGTTAAAAGCAAAATATTCAAAAATATGTGGACATGCTAACATTATCCTTCTATAAGGCATTAATGCTAAATGAATAATTGTACTAAACAGAAAAGCAATGTACTTCAATGTAACTATTTTTTAAGCAAATTATTGCTGGGGCTTTCTTTTTTATTTATTTCTAATTACAATATAAACCGATTTACAATAAAAAAGTGCTAAAACCCTAAAAGGTAGTAAAGATTATCAAAATTAAGCAATTAGTTCATATTCAAAGTCAATGTTTCTATTTTCACACCCAACCTTAACTCTCCAAAAGGAAAAATAAAATTTTTTACCCATCACATGCATGGCTGACTACAACAGTCTAGTAACAGAACATGTTTGGAACACACTTTCTACTCAAGAAAAATTTGTCTTGAGGTACACAAAGCTGATAACCTAAGCAGAAAGTACAGCTATACTTGAACGAAAAGTACAGCTATTTAGCTCGGTTCAGCACCCTGAAAACACTGAGGTACAAGAATTGGTTTATCACCGCTATTGAAAATGGGAGATGTCTCCCATCACAATAGCATTAAAATACTCAGCATGAAAATTTAACATAAACATTTCATAATTTTTATTCTTCTAAAGAATGTCACAGCACACTCACTAAGATTTCAAGATGATTATGATCATATAATGAAGCTGCAATCAAAGAGGAATCACTGAAGAAATCCATAAAGGTCCGACATATGCTGCGATGCCACAAAGCACAACTAGGGTGTCCATGTCAAGAATTATCAAGATTTCCATAGGTATTCTTAATGGAAGATTTTATATATAGAACATCTTCTCTCAGAAAAGAAAAAAAAAAAANAGGAAGGAAGGAAGGAAGGAAGGAAGGAAGGAAGGAAGGAAGGAAGGAAGGAAGGAAGGAAGGAAGGAAGGAAGGAAGGAAGGAAGGAAGGAAGCACAGTGGTATGCAGTTGGCCAGGAGAAAGAATGGGAAATGTAACTTCAAGACTATTCCATAATGACTGAATAAGCATACTCAGTAGCATTCCTTCCTGGAAACTTCTGTCACACAGTTACACCCTGCAATACACTATCTGCCACATAGAAGTCACCATAAGAACACAAGCATATAATATAATTCTGACAGTAGTAATTGCCCGATAAAAAAAGACGTGGTAAGTCATGAATGGTAAGTTACTTAAAACCAATTCCTTACTGCAGAAGTTTTGCAAGTACTAAGAGAGGATTCTGTTGTCCATTACATTCATCTCCATTTTTCATCCATATCTCTCACTTAGTATATGATGTCGAGCAATTCACTTGTCCAGTTTGCTAACATCACCAAATTGCGCAGAACGGTCCCTACATCAGTAGGCAAGGTTGCTGCTCAGGTCTCACACAGGCTGGAGGAATGCACTGACAGGAAACCCCTGAAGTTCAACAGTGACAAGGGCAGAGTCCTGCATCTGAGATAGAACAATCCCATGGGACAACAGAAGCTGTACGCTAACAAGATATCGAGCGTCCTCTGCTTATTGGATGTTTGCATCCACACAATGCAAAGGTCCCTTAACCACCAGCACTTCTTTCTTTTGTCCTTGTTACCTTCCGATAAGTCTCCTATAACTAGGGAACAAACATTTTCAGCTCCAGAAGAGTTTTGCAGTTTTAATCTCATTTGTTCTAAAATAATAATAAATACATAAAATAAATAAAATTAAAAAGATAACTTGATTCATGTATGAGTGATGGAATGTAGAAGGTAGTGACCCATCCTACTTTGTGGCAAAAATTCTAACATTTTCCCTGCTTACCTAAAAACATTAGAAAAACCTCTGTCCTTGCTATTCTTTCCAAAGATTAGGCAAAGACCTGCAGAAGGAACGAGACAAAGCACCTTCCCACAACGGTCTTACTCGTCTTTCACAGTAATCCATTTAACTAGGCAGGTTTGGGAACCTGAATTTATTTATTCATGTATCATTTTTTAAGTGCACGCATGCACAACCACTAAAGAAAATAAACCAAAGCCAACTACTTTTTCTCTCAATGTGACAATGGTCTCTTTTCCCAATCACTTTAGACTTYGATTATAAACCATGACAATGTCATAGGAAGAGTCATGTCAGCAATACAGGTTACAGAAATGGCTCCTTCAATAGTTGTATCAAAATTACAGAGTAAGATTAAGCAGGAACAAACTGCCCAAAAGCATGACTTTTAAAAAAAAAACATGGCTTATACCTGAGAACATCTCCTTTAAAAATATTACTACATGAACATTTAAAAAAAGTACATTTTATATACATTATGTATGTTAAGTATGTTTTTAAGCAGTTGTAATAAGAAGGTCAAAATTAAAGCTCATGGAGAGACACTGAGAGCTCTTACAGGAAAGATGACTATACCTGATAGTCAAAAGCAAAATGAGGGGCTTACCGTTATGATTTGACAGAACTTCGGACCTATTTACAAGTGCTATACCAAGTTCACCAAAGTCAGTATGGTCTATCAGGTGTTGGAATATATGTAATACGGATATAATCTAATGACAAATCAATGCAGAAAGGAAAATAGAGGAAGGTCTTATAATTAAGGTTAGTCAAGTTTGGAACAACCTTTCAGTTACAGCAACAGTAATAAAAACTACAGCTGAATCTATTTAATGTAGAGTTCAGTAACTATAAAAGTTTCCATCTAACTAAATGCCCAGACAGTTCCTCTCAATTAATGAATCAAAGTCTACAGAGGAGAAGAATAAGCAAAGGAAAGAGTAAGAGAAAAATCACAGACACTGCCACAGACAAACAGAAAGTGTGTAAGTTTCTAAAAACAGAAAAACAAAACAGTCCAATGATACCATAGCTACATGATCAACATATGCCACTCCTGAGAGCAAAAGAAGAGCTTCTACTCCCCCCATCATGTGCTGCCTTCACAACTGGCACAAGCTAATCAAAGATATGGGGGAGCTTTTAGCAGGGAGGCCTTCTCACATTAAATTACACTGAKCATGAAACCATGACCCAGATAAGCTCATCACCCATCGCAGTTTGCGTGACTGTAGCAGGACGGCAGATAAGCCCTCCTCTTTACCAACACACTTGTTCCTCCTACAGACGGAGGAGGCGTGATCGGGCAAGTAAGTCGGTATAGGAAGTTGTTCTATTTGCAAAGAAACTCAGACATGGAAAAAAAACATTAAAACAAGAAGAAATAAATAGTACCTTCCCCTTCCCCCCCCCCGCTTTTTTTTTTTTTTTTTTTTTAACTAAATTAGCTCTCTCAAACTCGCTTCCTGGCTATGCAGGTCCTGTTGGTTACACAAGGGAAGAAGCAACTATAACTCCTGGCTTCAAAAGGTGCACACTATGCCCTCGATCTTTTTGCAACCTTCTTCTTAACATCACTAAAACTTAATCAGTGAATCAATGTTAAAGGAAGGGATGTTCCTTTTTACCAAGCATTACTGAATTTTGCCGCAACTATCTTAAAGAAAATGCAGGAGAGGAAAATTCTCAGATCTCACTTGAGTTCTTACAGTACTGGAACTAATTTGTGTACACAACACCTTACTATATTTGCAGTACATTTAAGTTTAAAATGCAAACAAACCTCTTGCTAGCGTCATTAGTACCATATAATCCATCTACACAAACAATACTGGCTACAGTCCTACTTGTACCTAGACACACGCTTAATTTGCAGAACTAATTTTATACGCCCAGTAGCTTTATACGCCTTTTGGAGCATTAGTCAATCTGAGAAACAGGCAGGACTCAGCCCACATCAAAGGCACTCAGGCAGGCAAGGCTGCGCTACCCTGCATGGATTGGCAGCAGAAGGTGCTGCTTGTCCTACCAACGAGGACTCTTCTGGGAGATGAAATACAGCTGCATCTTACCAAAGTTTTCTTTGAGAAGTYCTCTGTGTAGCTGTGAGACTACAGCTAGATAGTAACAGATAGAAGCTGTTTACCTAGGTGAATTACTTGTTTGTTTATTTTTTGTTTCCTTTAAAATAAGAAAATGCAGCAAGAGATGATTTTTTTCCCCTCTCCTCTTTTCTCCTCTCTAAACAAACGAGCAGATGTATGCAAAATGCCAGACTGAGCAACGTGTTAAGGTATGGTTAATTTATAAGATAGCAAACACCAAGTAATCTCAGCAGCACCACTTTGCAATAGGAGCAAAGTGCAGGGCAGGAAACTGCAGCACGAGGAGCCGAACCCACTGAGACCCCCTTCAGTCTCAGAGGGTTAAGTTTCTTTCCCGAAAACAAGGACTTTCGCGCTAGGTTACTGCGACGGAGGGCCTAGCTGTGGAAGAGCACGTTTAAAAACCCAAAAAGTAGGAAAAATCGGAAGAGCCTCAACCCCGCAAGCGGCCCCACTTGAGGCCACTAGTTCGGGCTGCTGGGAAGTGACTTCACTTTTCCTCGGGCGGAGGAAGCAGGCGCAGCGCCGGCTCTTCCCTCCCGGCGAAAACAACTTTATCTTGTTGAATACCCCACTTCGCTACCGCGCTGCTCCGGTCCCCGCGGCGCTCCGGTCCCCTCCGGCCGCTCCGCAGCCCACCCGGCCGCCCCGCGCCTCGGCGGGCGCTGTCAGCCCGTGAAAGGCGCGGGGACGCGGCCCCGCTGCCTCCCTCGCCGCTCGTCGGCCGCGGCCTCCCGCGAGCGGCGGCACCTCCCGCCGCGGCCCCGCACGCCCCCCTTGCCCCTCACCCGGCACCGGAGGCCCGCGGCAGCAGCGCCCCTCTCACCCGCGGTCCCTAGCGGCCTTCGCTCCCTTCCGGCGCGCAGCTTCCCCGAAGCGGGGCGGGAGGCCGGGCGAGAGCGGCGCGGCCGCGCAGCCGCCTCAGGGCCGGGCGAGCGCCGTCCACATTCCGGCAGCGGATGGCGGCGCGGGCGGAGGCGCGCGCGCGCGCACCGCCCCCCGCCCTCCCTCCGCCTCGCTGCTGCCGCGGCGGCCGTTGGGGAGCGCGCGGCGACCGTTAAACCGCCACACCGGGCGCGCGGCGGCCGTTAAGAGCCCCCGCTCCCCTCGCCTCCATCGCGTGGTGATTGGGCGGAGGCCGGGCAGGCGCTTTAGGCCGCCCCGCGCCGCCACCAACACTGTCCCCTCTTCGGCTGGGTTTCGCCGAGGCACTTAGCACATTTGGCTTCGCCGCGTAGGACGCCTTTATTCACAAAAATAAATAATTAAAATCTAAAAAACCTACAGCTGGATTAGAAAATGCTTCTTTGTAATCCCTTGGAAATGATCCAGCTCGCAGAAACATCCGTAAAAATGTAGAAAATTTTCTCTAGGACAGTAAAGTTACCTATAAATCATCTCTTTGGGTGATCCTTGGAAAGATTATTTCGTTTGAGTTCTGGCTTGGAACCCCACCTCTCTCAGCTTTACATTGTAATTGTTTATCAACARTGTTTATGGGTGGGTAAATAAATAATATTTAAATAGTAAACAAAGGTATATGTTTAAATAAACATCTGTGCTGTTTTAAGTAGTGAAAAGATGGCTTTTTTTTTTTTTTAAATCTCATGTGTGAAACAAATTGCATTTAATTGAACCACATAATTTAGAACAGCTTGCTTRTGCTCTTTCCAGTTCAGAGGTGGATCAGCAAAATATTCGGGAACATCAGACCACACTGTTAATTTCCCCRCGTGAATGATGGTGGGCTGTGCCTGGCTAGCCTGGGACAGCAGGATTCCTCCCAGTGGCACACTCTTTTAGTACATTGTTTTCCTATCACAAGCTCCTTGTCACAAGTGTTCCCACTATTTTAATGATAATAAATCAGAAGAGCCCACAGAAGTAATAATCATAATAAAAAAAAAAAAAAAAAGTGAGAGAAGCTTATATGTGGAAGCTTATAATAAATATTTGCATTACCAGAGGAAAAGCTTGGAAAAAAAAACTACTTTGCCACCTAACTTGGGTGTTGCAGATTTATGCAGAATTATGCATAATAGAAGGAATTGGAAGTCACATTTCATAATAAAAATTATGAGTTAATTGTCATAACTAGTTATTGTTATGGAAGAGTGGAGTCTGTTCAGGAAGCATAGGTAGGAAAAAAGGAGCATCATGAGCCATGGAGGTGCTGACAGTAATAATGAGGAAGAGGAGGAAAGGATGTATTAGCGCCCAGCAAACCAAGCCCACCAAGTGTATGGTGCTTTGTTTGAATAAAACAAAAGCATAGGAACCACTGAAAGTGAGAGATATTAACTTCAAGAAAACAAGCTTCAGTGAACTCATTGTGTGCTGAACTCCACAAATGTAATTATGTTCAGGAAACCTTGTAGTTTTCAAGAGTGTCAATACTAGGGTATGGTGCATAGGGTTGCAAAACAGACTATGCAAATACAAAGAAAAGCTAGCAAGAGAAGAGATGCCTAACCTAGACCATCCCATTGGCTTGTACTTTTTGAAAGAAATACATGAAAACTGCAGCTCAGTTAAATTATTAAGACTGACTACAGAAGGATTGCTGTATTATGTAGAAAATCCCAAAAGGCTAATATACACACGCACAAAAAAAAAAAAAAAAAAAAGATTGCTCTAAAAGACATTCATCTTGGGTCACAGCAGTTCACAAATAGAAAACGAGTCAATAATGTTTTGCTATTGTAAAAAATGTGCCAGCTTTACCAAAATGTAGGAGTAACAGGACAAAACAAACACAAGGCAAAGTAATTTACACTCTACAGACTTCAAAAATGTTTTGCTGAAGAATTCCTCTCTGTTTTGGATACATTTCCATCAGAGGTCTGTGAATAATGGACATCAGAAGTGTAGAAAATTTGACCTATGGAGAATAACTAAAAGAGTTGTGTAGCTGTGTAAGTTGTGTACTCCAGAAAAGATAAAACTGGCCCAGTTTCTTAAGTCTAATGATTGCTTATATTAAAAGTTTCCACAGAAGGAAACGATATTTATTTCTCCAGGAGTACTGTAGATCAAGAGATACTAAGCAAAAAAAATCCAAATGGCTATTGGCTCCCTACCAGTAGAAATGGTGAACTGGATGCATCTCAGAAATGATTTAAATATATATATATATATAAGAGTCTACAGGCTGACAGGATGACCTGTTGAGGTCTCTTGAAGATCTATCCTCTATGGCTGGTAGGAAGACTTGACCTGCACATCGGTAACAGAAAAATCTAGATATTAAAAAGATGAACTTGATTTTTTTTCAGAAGTTAATCTAACTGGTACTTTATGGAGCAACTGTCAATTCCCAGAACATACTGAGCATCCATTTAACCCCTTAATATTATAACTGAAGGACTGACAATATCCACCTTTACCTCCCTACTGTGTTAAGGCTTTATTTAATAAATATAATCATCCTTTTTTTCTCAGCATCTGCAAAGACAGTAAATTAATGTATGGCCTAAAAAAATGAGAATTTGATATAAAGCAGTCTATATATGAGAAAAGTGAAACTTATAAAAGTATAAAGTTATGTTTATACATAAGTTCCAATTATAAGGAATTCTGACAACAGACTTCTTGAACTTTTTTTTTTGCACTGTTACAAACTGTCAAAGTAAAATATTTAATATCCTAATGAGACTACATTTTTATTCATAGTATACCTAAATCCTCAATGCCGTTAAGTCCACCATTGTTTAAACAAACATCCTTTAACTTGGAAAAAAATCCTGAGTATGTATAGCACCCATCCTCTAGAAGAAAGAAAGAAATAAACAAAACAAACTCTTAATTTTAAAATCCACCAAGATTTGATTCAATGTTAATCCTCTCCTGCGTTATCTACCACAGGGAGCTGGAGGATAACATAACTGGACAGACAATGATAAATGAATGCTGTCCAGTGTGTATTAATTCCCAGAACACGACCTGTAAAGGGTTCACATAAACATTTGTCTTGATAAAGGGGACTTGCATTTAACCTTATCTGAAAGATGATAATGGGAAGACAACATCATCCAGTATGTGCCCAGGGAGGGTACCTCACACCTCATCCTTTTGCCACAGCAAGAGACTTGTCTGAACTCAAAACCAGGTAAGTATTAGGGTTAAATGACTYCAAAATGTGAAAATGGACTGGAAGAACATTCCTATTTAGGAGGTAAATAAGCTTATCACCTTAAAAAAAAAAAAGAGAGATTGCTTAGCAATAAAACCATCACATTTGTTTGAAGCAGCATTGCAGTGAATACATGTTTAGGCACACACTTTAAAAAAAAATTATTGCGTGACTTTTATGGAAGGAATAAGTCCATCAATCTTCAGTATGTTTGGACGACTCTCGTTAAATCATCCTATGAAATAAATATAAAACCTCTGAAAGTGTTTAAGTGACCCTGCTGTTATCTTCTGTCTTCTGCAGCTTAGGCACTAGCTTTACCACAGAAACCTTGCCTCGGGACTTTACAGGATGCTTGAGCACACTAGCCTAATGTACTGTTTTTCTGCTGTTAGCATACATTTTAAAAACAAGAAAAGCAAGTGCCTGCTTATATAGCATGAATAGCTCATGCCATGAGTTTTCATTAGGGAGATTCAATATCCTTAAAATTATCTGGTTGTTGCTAAACATTATATGCTAGAGGTAAAACTGATTCAAATTCTCTTCCAGTAGACAGTTAACTAATGCTTTTAATTTTGCAAGGTATATTACATTTTGAGCATTTTTTGAGACTTTCTAGATAAAGAAGTGGGGAGAAACTTAGTYGTGTGAATTAAAGGCAGTCAACACATTTAAGATCTTCTACCTAAATTAAATGGTGGAACGGCCATAAACAAACCTACCGCTAGATTATGTCCAAATATTTAAGAACAAAATATAAATAAGCTGTTTATAACATGATTGTTGAGTTTCCGTATCTGACGGTTCAATAATACTGAAATGAGTTTAGAAGTCTGACAGAGTAAATCAATATAAACCTAACACTGATTAGAAAGGAAGCAATAGCTCATGACTAATTAGTAAGTGGGAGAAAACACAGAGATAATATTATTGCTGCTAACAGTCTTTAAGATGAAGATGTGGCATTTATATTAATAGTTATAGATAGAGGCTATTTCCAGTCTTTCACTTCTAACTATTTCCAAAAACAGTACTAGTCTATTTTTACCAACAACAGATTAYGCCTGTTGGATACATTATGCACAGTGTACAATAAAATTTCAGAGGTGGTCACTCTGTGTGTTACAGCCACAGCACAGCTTATCATTATGTCTCAATTAATGTAGATATAACTGCGTTTTGYCTAGTTGCTTTGATGAGCATAGCTCAATACAGGAAGACAAAGAGAAATCTTACAGAATCGATAGTATTTTTCCTTGTGCTTACATAGTTCAAATARATATATTTCATGCTGCTGAGCTGTAAGATGCTTATCATGTTTGAAAGATAAGAAACAAAATTAAATAAAGATGTGCAAGCGAAAATGGTATTATTACATCACCGAGTGTCTGTGTGTGTATATATATATACACACATTATTTCATATATACACATATCCATACTCACATACACACTACAGGTATTGCAAAGTCACTATTTTTTATGTAAATATATAGAACCATTCTGTTGCTGCACATATTTATATATTTTTGTTTTAAAACTTTTTTTTGATTTCAATTGCTAGGCTGCACTAGGTTAAAAAAAAAAAAAAAAAAGGCCTCCATATTGTCAGCATGTCTCTACACAAAAATAGGGTGCACCTATTACTATGAGAAATCTGACCTTCAAAGCAACTTCATCTGGATTGAAGAGTTCTTAGGAAGAATACTGGGGCTTTCAGAGGAAAGCAGCCTTCAATCAGCTGTTGATAAGACTCTGATGCCTACACAGAAAGCTGAGCAGACACTTGCTATGGAACTCAAGTGCTGAACTCTTTCAAGAGAAGTCCAGCTGTTCCAGTCTGATAAAACAACTGATTCTTTTGTCAGGAAACTTAAATAWATATATATATATATRTRTATATATATATRTGYGYGTGYGTGTRTGTGTGTGTAGGATCAAGAAAGAATAATTTACTATGCTGTGCTGGAGCTCCGTATTTAATTATTAAATGGTTTGTATCTCTGTTCATGTTGTATTATCAGCCAACATTTACATTTAAAGGTAACACTGAAAGCTTTTTCTTTTTTTTTAATTTTTATTTGGCATTCTCAGGATTATCACTTTAAATTTGTGAGCTAGAGAAATGTTGGACAAAGCTAGTGTGTTTCATTGTTTCATTTTTTTTTTCTTGACACTTGAGTGTCATGGCTGTAACACTGGGAAAATAATGAACCTACATGTCTGGTCCCAGCTGTTTTTCAATGTTTATCTCACCTATGTTGGTCATTTCTTTCTTGTCTATTTAACATATAGATGAGTAAGTGTATTTATGCGCATGTGCTTCATGTGGAAGGCAACCTTTGGAGAGGGAGTCTTTTAGGTATGAAAATAGAGGACACTCCTTTTTTTTTTTTTTTTTGCAGAGCACCATGCACTAATGAAAACATTGATAAGAAAAGCTGCTGCCTGGGAGCAAGAGTGATAAACTGCAACATAAACAACCTTCCAATATCACACTTCTATATTGAAATTCAACTGTAGTCAAATGGAAAAGAGTTGGGACAGCAGTGAAAGATGGGTAAGTCTCCTATCTGAATCCTGTTATTTCCACACACAAGTAGCACGTTTCTGGCTCTCAGAGGCACCAGAACAGGAAGCACTGCACACAAACAAATTGGAAATGCTGTGGCCTTATATATGTCAAAATTCTCCATCTATAAGGGAAAGGGTGTGCATAGTCCATTAAAAACAAACAAACAAACAAAACAAACAAACAAAAAAACCCACACATTAATAGTGGTTATATTTCTCCTTGGTACACCTTGGCAGAATTAAGGTGAACAGGAAAATAATATGATTGCATTTGATTTCTGATGCTTGACTTCCTCGGAGGCATGCTGTTGTTTACCCTACTTTTCTACATAATTTGGCTTGGCTAAAAATTTTGGCTAACTGGCTGAAAATTTTGTCCATCCTGTATCTCCAGTGTGTCTCAATGAGTATGTGATAAATACCAATWAAAATCTTAGACGACGATGTTTCTTAATAAAGTTAAATTCTTGCATGTCTTTAAACTGTATTTAAATTGTAGGTTGCATCTATACTCACATTTGCAATGCTGCAGAATATTTTCTTCTCCTTTCACAGTTTTTTCTTTAGGAGTTCTTGCAGCAGTTTATGCAGAAAAACAGCACCTAGAGTTAATTAGCATAAGACAAATATTTTTTCCTGTCTGGTGATGAAAGCTAATTCCAGTACTTAGTTACTGTTTTRTCACTGAACTTCCTGAATCCTAATTAAAAACAAAATCAATAGTTTAATACACTTAATGGTTAGA